CAGCAGCAGCAAAGGCGGCAAAGAGATCTGCCTCTATAGACTGAGACAGAGCTGATTTTGGGTCGGCCATGTCGTATTCAAGCAATATGGGGGTTTGTTGCCCATTGGTGTGGATTGGCGCGACGCTTTCCTAGAATTGCCCCGCGAGTCGGGTGGCCTGGGAGGATAGAGGAGGGCCTTGGAGTGAATTGCTCGACTCGCTGAGGCGTCAGGCCCTTTCAAAGATTCAGGCGCTCGGCTCAGATGAGCGAAACAATCGGGTTATCGTCTTACTCTCGAGCAGGTCGAGGTCGGCGGCGAGGGCGCGGCGATCGAGCTCTGCGGGCCTAGACTGAGAACCTGGAGGGCGGGATGTCGGAGAAATTTTCTGACGTCCGACCCAAAAGTTGCCCTTATTTCTTGCCCCAGCGAGCGATACACACCCCCAATAATCGCTGCAGAGACTGCAAAAATCCACTCCCCGCCACCGGAAGGTCCCAAGAAAAAAAACACTTGATATTAATGAACTTTATTAGAACAATACTGAACAACGACTCTAATTCTCCTAAATTCCCATATTAGCCATGTCTCAGACTTCTTTTTTGCTGCGGATTTTGAATGTAGGCAGCTTGCAAAACGGATGGATGTCCAGTGGACCTCCGGCCGCCAACAATCCAGCATTCCAGCCTCCGGGTTGCTGGGACCTTGGGTTGCGCATGGCGGGGAAGACGTGTATAAGAAGGCAATGCGAAGTGATATAAGCACTCTCGAGTTGCAGAAGAACAGATGCATGTACACATGCCCGGGTCCTTGCTCTTCTGTCGCTCTGCTTGTACAAACAACTGTGGGGCTGGTATCTTCAATGGGTAGGAGCCCTATGAAACCAGGGCCACCAGCTCTTCACCAAAGTCAGAACGGCTTGTCTCCACCAGGTGACATCCGCCTCGATACTGCATTTCTTCAGACAACCATTTCCATTGCTTACTGATCACGTCGGCGGAATCCGATACACAGCCTTGACATGAAGAGAATGAATGATTCGATTTCCCCAAACGCCCCCGTCTGGGCTCGCCCATCAAGCTACGACAGCATGTCAAATACCACCTATGCTCCGGGGAGACGGAAGGATTTCGGGGGCCCGGAGGCTGACATTGGAACTGGCGGTCACGGTCGAACGGGCGCGGAGCCGTTCTAATCCGATTGCCGATCTCGACTCTCGCATCGAAGAAACAGGATGATAAAGCCACGCCCCTTCCGCTCTACTTGTGAGTGGTGACAGCTAAGTATACACCGCAGACCACTTGCTCGCTCTACAATACCCCGAACTGGAGCTTAATTAATTTGCCCAGGTCTAATGATTCTGTTTCGAAGGAAAACCAGATTTAGCGTGCAACTTACTGGAAAACTTATTTTAATTGTATCGACACATCTTGCCATGCCCATGTTGGAGAGAGATGGTGATCGACGTGCAAAGAGGGCGTCTTCAAGATTGCCGATGCCAGCGCCCCCCAAACCAACGATGCGGGGTAAAAATCGGGAGAGGCGTCGATTTACATCCACATGACGTCCCCCGAATTATCGAACACCTCTGTCAGCATCAAAAGCTCAACTTTCTCGCCCTTCGTGCGTTATTGCCCCCCAACTTGAAAAGCTTGCCCACTCAAGGCTAGGCCAAAATGCAGCGTGCCAACTACGTACTTGACTGCCAGAGGCGATGCTTGGATATTGGACACTCGGCTTAGCAATGGAGGTTCCTGGAGCGGGGCAGCTAGCACATCGACGTGTTTTGCTTCTTCTCCATCATGCGGAGAAGCAAGGGATGGGACCATGACAATGCGTGTCGGGAGTGTCAGTGGCAATGGCACTTGCGCTCGTCTGAACACGATGATTCGTTGCCGTTGGTAACCAAATTTCGGCTTTCCCCTGGAGAAAGAGGGTGCTGACAATCTTGGAGCTCGGGTTCCCATGTTCTTGTTCTAGCATCCGCGAGTCATTGGCGAGGGGAAGGGGAAGTGAAGAAGCCCATCCCCAAATCGGAAGTTCAGGAGTTGAATTCAATGATAGAAACTTTGCCCGAAAGTAAGACGTAGGTATCTACCTACCTAGGTAGGCATTCACTAGGTACCTCACCTATTACCAACCAGAAACCACCGCCACTCGATGGATGCGCCTGCCGCTCGCACTTCCACCGGTGCAACACCCGTGGACATCCATTCACAACCTACCCAACCCCGCTTTAGACGCACTACCCCCGCCAAGGACGACGAGGGGAACAAAAGGTCCACGGCGTCTTAGATTGTATTCCGACCAGCGGTAATTTCTCCTCCCGATCGCCACCTCCCTGCTCTTCTTTGTCCCCCTCTCCAAACATCCATTTAAGTTGAGGCCCAGTCATCCCATCATCTCCCAAACCTTCTCCAGCTTCCAACATCCTCTGAAGTTGAGCTCCTCCAAACTACCTTCCTGCCTAACTTCCTACCACCAACCTCCTTCCACCCATTTGAGATACCCCTCCCCACCTCTTTCACAGCCGTTTTTAAGATGGCGAACCTTTACACCGAACTGAAGACGCCTGTCACCGGCACCTTCAAGCAGCCTACCGGACTGTAAGTCCCTTCCTAATATTACATCACTACGTACCTAAGTACATATCTGCTCCTGCCTCGTCTGACACACAACTCCCCTGTAGCTTTATCAACAACGAGTTCGTCGAGGGTGTCGAGAAGAAGACATTCGAGGTCATCAACCCCACAACCGAGGAGGTCATCTGCTCCGTGAGCGAGGCCACAGAGCAGGACGTCGATCTCGCCGTTACCGCCGCGCGGACGGCGTTCGAGGGCTCATGGCGCCACACCACCCCCCAACAGCGCGGTATCTACCTGCTCAAGCTGGCAGAGCTTTGCGAGAAGAACATTGACCTCCTAGCCGCTGTCGAGTCTCTGGACAATGGCAAGTCTATCACCATGGCCAAGGGCGACGTGGGTGCCGTTGTAGGCTGCCTGCGGTACTACGGCGGCTGGGCAGATAAGATCGAAGGCAAGACCATAGATATTGCCCCGGATATGTTCCACTACACACGGGCAGAACCCCTCGGCGTCTGTGGTCAAATCATTCCCTGGAACTTCCCGCTTCTCATGCTGGCCTGGAAGGTCGGCCCCGCTCTTGCTACCGGCAACACGATTGTCCTGAAGACGGCTGAGCAGACTCCCTTGTCTGGACTGGTCTTCGCCCAGCTCGTCAAGGAGGCCGGATTCCCCGCCGGTGTACTGAACATCATCTCTGGATTCGGCAGAGTTGCCGGTGCCGCTATCTCGTCGCACATGAACATCGACAAGGTTGCCTTCACCGGCTCCACCGTCGTCGGCCGTACCATCATGAAGGCTGCTGCCGCGTCCAACCTGAAGAAGGTGACGCTGGAGCTCGGCGGCAAGTCCCCCAATATCATCTTCAACGATGCCGATATCGAGGCGGCCGTCAGCTGGGTCAACTTCGGCATTTACTACAACCATGGCCAGTGTTGCTGCGCCGGCTCGCGTGTGTACGTGCAAGACGGCGTGTACGACAAGTTCGTCGCTGCCTTCACGAAGCGCGCGCAGGAGAACAAGGTTGGCGACCCGTTCCACGAAGAGACATTCCAGGGCCCCCAAGTCAGCCAGCTTCAATACGACCGAATTATGGAGTACATTAAGGCCGGCAAGGACGAGGGTGCCACGCTTGAGACGGGCGGTGAGCGCCACGGCGAGAAGGGCTACTTCATCCAGCCCACCATCTTCACCAATGTCACCCCTCAGATGAAGATCATGAAGGAGGAGATCTTCGGCCCTGTGGTCGCCATCGCCAAGTTCAGCACTGAGGAGGAGGTTATCCAGCTCGGCAACGACAGCACCTACGGCCTTGCCGCAGCCCTTCACACCAAGGACTTGAACACCGCCATCCGCGTCTCCAATTCTCTGCGGGCCGGCACCGTCTGGGTCAACTGCTACAACATGCTGCACCATCAGCTGCCATTCGGCGGCTACAAGGAGTCTGGCATTGGCCGCGAGCTGGGCGAGGCTGCTTTGGCAAACTACACGCAGAACAAGTCTGTGGCTATCCGCCTGGGCGGCCCGTTGTTCTAAACCAAGTCGGGAGGAAAGAAAAAAATGAGAGGTTATTTAAGGGTACCTAGGTCGTAAGCAAGCAGTCAGGTAATTTCTGGACGGAAGCAAGCGCATTCTTATTTGGACAAATTTAGGAGGGCGAGCAGCGATGATGATAAGGGTCACTGTGGCCCTTGGGCAGATTGCCAAACTGTATATGATTATTTATGACAGGGATTTTGCGGTGAATTGTAAGCTCAAATTATTCGCAAATACTACAAAAGGGTTTCTTTTCGAGCGCCTTTTCCTCTGGGATTGATGCATTGTTGGACTGGATGAGAATACTGAAAACTGCAAGACAAACTAATTTTAGATTCTACCCTACGGCTCTGTATCCGGCTTTGGAGAGAAATAAACACACCAGGCTTGCAAAGACTGGGGAGGCCCCGTTTCATTGTTTTGGGGGGATGAAGGGACAACAGAAAAGCCATGCCCCGTTTATACGAGCTACCTATACCGGTATACGAACTGAGATACTGGCATGAACACCAAATCCCTCTCCCACTCTCACTCCATCACCCTGGCCCCCCCCCCCCCCCCCCCCTTTTTGGTCCAAGACAATATTATTACTCGTCATGTGAGAAAATCAATTCAACGATTAAAGGAGCCATGAGAACGAGGTTTCCAATTGTTGTTGATAACTATTCCGGTTAAAGCCGGTTATATAAATGAAACGAGCATCGAATCAATGAACAAAATCCACCGAGGTCATTTGCCCCTTTTCTTTGTAAGGGGGCAAACAGATGTAACTTGCAGTTTGCACAGAATTACAGGGCAGAGGAGAAAAGGAGAGAGTTAGAAGGAGAATTGGAAAAGGAAAATGAGAAAAATGAGGGGAAAATAAAAAAGTGGAAAAAGATAATCCAATGCATGGTAATGTTTTGCGACCAGAGGGAATCGAACCCCCCCCTCAACCTATCATCAACTCAATCGAGTTGGAAGGGTTGAATCCTAACCACTAGACCATGGACGCTTTTGAACACCAATAGACTATCAGTACTTGTTGGGGTAGTGTCTGACGGGAGGACTTAAGTAGGGACGATTTGATGCGGAGGCAGCTAGCTGGGGTGGTGATAGGTCGGACTACAGGCTGCGGCATGCAGAGCGGCTGCTCGGTGATAGGTCTGTGGGGCGGACCCGAATCATGCACATCCTTGAGACAAACTGCTTGCCGAGGTGACCTCCTGAGCAAGTCAAGGTCAAGAGTGCGTTCGTGCTCGAAACACAAGCGCAGGACAGATAAGAGACCACCTAGCAGCCGTTAGGAAGGGGGTCAACGAAACGCGGCGAGTGGGAGTGAGTGTCGTATTCTTTTCTCCTCCCAATGCAGTGACTCCAGCGGCCCTTCCGTGGAGGCCCCTGCGGGAAGCTGCTCGCAACGCTCGAGGTGCGGACGATTGTGAGTGGCCTCGTTGCATGCGAGGAGCTCTGTGCCTGCGAATGGCTCGACTACCTACGAGTGGCTTTTGTGCCTGCAGACGGTCTTATTACTGACGAGTAGGACCTATTGTTGCATGAGCTATCGCGGGCCGCGCATCTGAACGACGCGATTCTGAAGGAGCGTTAGCAGGAAAGAAGAGCAGTCGCGGCGTTATTGATTACCTGTTCAGAGCGGAATTATCGCGGTCGTTCCGCAGAATACGTAGCGGTTGAGAGGAGGAAGAGGGCCAGGAACTGAGTTGATCTGTTGAGAAACTAAGCTCGTGCAGTCATCTGTCAGGTTCGTGTGCTTGAATCCAGACAGCCCCTTTCGGATCTTCATCAACAAGGTCAACAACACCGTGCCTTCACAATTACCAGTCAATATCGCGCCTTCCTTTTACACCGTCTAGCGCGCGTGCACACGCACACGTGGGAATCGACAACGATGAGCATGCTCGTTCAGTTGAATGAAGACCGACTAAAGTACCTATCCATACTTGGAATTGTACGCAAGTCTCAGATTTGGGAAATTCGGGTGGCTTTTACCATAAAATAAACTGAAGATGGTATATTCTGATATGACAAAGAGTACCTAGGCATCCATTCATTCTTCTACCTCACTGTGACTGCTGCCAATGAGATTGATACCACCTAGGGTATCTCTAACCACCATTACTTCTAGAAGAAGAAAAAACCATTTATTATCCACGTCAGGCAGTCTCTCTCTAGCTACGATAGTCACTGTCATTCATCTCCCTATCATATATCCATGCCATTTGCTACCTATTACCACCCGCGTCCGGACGGATACCGAACGCTTATTCTGTGTGTAGATAGTAGGTACCTCCCTTCTACGCTAAACCCCAACTCAACTCCCAATGATAAAGTAGGTATCCAGACGGAATATAACATGGATGTTGCAAACTCCGTAAACCACCGCCAAATACCAATAGACACAGCTAGACGGACTCCATATACCGAAAAAAAAAGTGTCAAATGTACGTAGAGTATTTTCCCATTCCATTGATTCCAGGGCCTCCCAAAAAAAGCCAAGTAAAATCTCAGAGGAAGATAAACATCAACCATCATTGATCAGAACCAAGGGAAAGGGGGTATGTTTCTCGTCTTCTCCTCCCGCACAGTTCAATTGCTTCCCAAGAATCAAGAGTGAACCATGAAACCTTACGAATCAGTCAAATCAAATGAATTCAATGACTTTGCTCTGCTTGGCATTTTTGGAATTTCCCACCGCACCGCTATCACCGTCGCCGTGTGTGTCAATCAATCCCGCCTTTGAAAATGCCCCGCAACATGGAAGACAAAAACATCAAAGCATAAACCAACGACAACCACAACAACAGCAACAATAATTATCAACTACCACTTATTCCAATCCCAGCTTCGCTATCTCTCTCCTGTCTCTTTGTTTATCTTACCATTACGTTCTTAAACGTGTCAGAGATCTCACTCGCCGTGGGCGTCGTCTTTTTCTCAGGGACAGTGGACATGCCGGCGGAGATGCGCTCGACCATGAGCTTCAGGAGCACAGGCGGGAGCGTATCGTCCGTGGCTCTGATCGTCAAGCGGACCATCTAGTTCACGCATGTTAGCAATCTTATGTAAATTTTCGTGAGTCAGGGAAAATCGTCTTACCTGGGTGGTGTAATTCGGTTCCAGTCTGAGCAGGCACCCAAACTTGCCCGATTCAGAGGTATGTACAACACTCGCGCCGACAAAGTTCTTCTGGTTGGGGTCGACGTTGTTGAGAACACCCCACCGGAAACCCTCGAGGACGTTCCGCACGAATCTCTCATTGATCTCTCGCTTGTCCTTGGGCCCGGCGACCCCAAAAACCTGCTGGGCTTCGCGCGGCGCGCCGCCGATTTGCTTCCAACGCTTGAAGAAGTCCTCGGCCGACAGCTCTGCAGGATCCATAAACTTGTGGATCGAGATGGGCAGTTTGAGAGTCAGCGCTTGGAGTGCGCCTGCAAGGTAGCTGAGGCGGATCGTCGGGCTCTTTTCGAACACCTTTTTTGCCTCGAATACAACTACTTGCTGCGCTTGTCCACCTTGTGAGATGGTGGTGTCGGGAAGGCCCTTGACGTCCCAGGTCAAGCTGGGCTTCTCCGACTCGTCCAAATCCAAAGTGGTGGTGAACGAGCTGACGAGGGCGGGGGTTTTGTTGGTAAAGTACATGATTAAGCAAGCCATCTCACCGCGGTACTCAGAGCGAACGCCGACCTGGAACTGTGGATCTTCGTAGAGCACACCGTCTGCCTTGAGCATAAGCTTGTTGAAACCCCGTTCCCAGCCAGGCGACAAGTGGGCAGCACTGGCAAGGTTGGGTGGCGCTTTGAGCGCCTTCGCCTCGGCTGGCCCAATGTTATTCATGTCGAGACCCAAAAGATCCGAGTGACCGTTGCTAGCATTCGCCTTTGTCGGACTGTCTGCGCCCCCTTGGCCATTTGAGCTAAAGGTCCTCCTAAGACCCGGATTCTTGACCATGGTGAGTTCTGAGGTGTCCGCATTGGCGTCTTTCCCTCCAACAACCCAGGTTCGCTTGTCACTGGTGTTGGCGTGTTTCTGGTGCAATCTGGAAAGGAGAGCAGACTGGCGTTCTGGAAAGGGAGGCATCTCGTCGCAAATGGCTCGGAGGAGATCATCCGACGAGAGGCTTGCGAGTGTGAGATATTCGCACGCCCGCTGCTGGAGCTCCGAGTCGAGGGTATGGCTGTAGACGTTGAAAACGCCGACAATCTGAGGTTTAATCTCTGGAAACAGATTCACAAACTTGATAAAGCTGGACAGAATCATGGCCCGAGTGCTCGACGAGCAAGCAGCAAGCTTGCCCTGGAGTGCAAGGAATTGCTCAATCGGGCTGCAGCCTTTCTCCTCGGCAATCAGATGCCCAAACTCTCCAAGAATGTAGGCGCCAATCTTGACCAAGGTCTCGTGACAGTGATCCTGCTTCGCGTACTGAAGAATATTCTGTGCTGCATACACTTGAAGTTCCTCGTTGTTTGTGACAATCTGGATGACTCGTTGCCACACCTCGTCGCTGACATGGTCGCCCGCCATGGCGATCAGGCGAAGGGAGATGTCGACATACCACTGCACATCAGTAGCGTACTTCTCGGTTAGGATGGCTATCTTGAGGACCATCTCTTCCCGGATCGCAAAATCTGCGTTTTGCAAGTAGTGCAGCAGCTCGCCAACAATCGCCCGCGCATTCGTAGAATCGCACATGCTGTAGAGAAGATCCAGTCCTTTTCGCCGGACACTGATATCTCGATCCTTAAGAGACCCCAGGATGATGTCTTGGTGCTGCTTAATGGGATCAAGGGTATCGGCGCGCGCAGCCAGATGCGTCATAGCTTCCAGTCCTAGGTAGCGAACGTTTGTTTCCCTAGACTGGATGAAACGGCCCAGCCTGGATGAAATCTGTTTCAGCAATGCATGTTCTGTGTCGAGGTGGATAATGAGATTGATGGCCTCGAAGAGAACAGCATTTTGTGCGTTGTTTTGCTGTACATTCTTGCTCGTTTCCAGTGCCAAGTTCAATATTTTTTGGAGCGACTCTCGTATCATCTCCCGGACGTGGCTGTCATCTTTATATGTTGTTAGCTTGCAGCTGGCCGTCAGATGTGCAATTTGGTCATACCTGAAGGGGGAAAATACTGCAGCAACCGCAGAAGCTTGACCTGGATCCACGGACAAGGAACCTTGTAGTATAAGTAGTCTGAGGCATACTCGCCGTCGATCAAGATGCGCTTCATCCTTCCGGCAGCCTTGGCATAGGCTCCCTTGTATTGCTCAAGGTTATCTTGTGCCAAGGCCATGACGAGCGACGTCACAGACAAAGCAACACCCATATCGACGTCGTCCATCAGCGATATTATCCGTTCCGCCCATTGTGGCTGGACTATATCGGTATATTTTCGATACAGACGGAGTAGTGTGAGTGCAGCCTTCTTCTTCACGAACGCCTTGGATGTACTGGGGTTGTCAGCACACACGCTTAGTAAGACGGGGTTAGCAGAGAGACATACGGCGAGATGAGAAGTCTGTGAACCTCCCCGCTCAACGCCTCGCCCATTTCTCGGCCGCCAACATTGGCAATTGCGTGTAACGCAAGGCAGTTAAACAGTTCATTGTTGTCCAGCAAGTCTTTCCTTATACTGTTCACGACCAAGTGCAAGAGCTCGTGCTTTTCATGTAAGAACAGAGTCATGGCCAGGTAGCCGATCTGCTTCTCCGAATATTTGTTCGCCGATATCAAATTAACGGCCTCGAGGTGACCAAAATCGACGTTCCATCCCAGGATATAAATGTAGAGAAGCTACCACGTCTCAGTCAGCTCGATCCTCAGTTGAAGAAGGCTTCTGCTAGATAGAGACAAACCTTGCAGACGTATTTCTTTTTGTGGTATCCGCTCAGGTTACCATCTACAAAGCCTGTCAGTACCCAACTCAAACGAACAGAGGCGCCGCGACAAGGGAGGGGGGGCATGCGCGCGCGTACCTTTAAACTTTTGCCTTTAAGAAGAGACAG